AGCGAAGTAGTTGCCAAATCACCTCTCGATCGACGCTGTCGAAGGCTTTCTCAAAATCGATGAAGTTGAGATAGAGAGGTGACTGCCATTCCAAACTTTGTTCAATGATAATCCGTAGGGTGGCGATTTGGTCAATGCATGACTTGTTCCTCCTGAATCCGGCCTGTTCCGGACGAAGTTTTTCATCTAGGGCTTGTTTAATTCTCTCCAGGATGATGCGACATAGTATCTTGCTTGGAATGGACAGAAGCATAATTCCACGCCAGTTTTTACATTGACTCAAATCTCCTTTCTTTGGCAATTTGAATAAGTATCCGTTCTTCCAATCCTCGGGTACTTTGCCTTCTTTCCACACCTTCTCTAGTAGTGGCGTCATCAAGTCCGCTGTTGTCTCTGGGTCTATTTTCAAAGCTTCTGCTGGGATTCCATCTGGTCCTGGCGCTTTCCCAGCTTTTAGCATCTTGATGGCATTCAGGACTTCGGATTTCGTCGGAGGGTCGATGTTCATTGGTAGTTCTGCTTCCGTTGTTGGTATTGTTGGACGCGTTGTAGGTGGCGGACGATTTAGAAGTCTTTTGAAGTGTTCAGCCCAGTGCTTCCTCTGTTCCACCTCTTTGGTGATTGACTTTCCATTGTCGTCCTTTATTGGCTTAATCTGTGTCGAACTTTTGCCCGAAAGGTGCCTAGTTGTTTGGTATAGTGTAGCGAGGTCTCCTTTGCCTGCAGCTTGTTCTGCTTCGTTTGCCATGGTTTCACAATATTTTCTTTTGTCTTCCCTGGCACTTTTCTTCACTCTTTTGTTCAGTGCATTGTAGCTTGCATTCAACTCCTGTTTCTGTTGCTCGTCGGTGCACTGGATAATCTTTTGTTTCGCCACCCTTCTCTCTTCTATTAGTTTCCAAGTGTCCGTAGAGAGCCACTGTTTGTCCTGTCTCTTTTTTCTGCCTAGGACTTCCATGCAGGTTTGACTCCACAACGTTTTCAATTTGTTCCAGTGCTTTTCGACGCTGACCTTTTCGTTGGTGTTGATTTGTGTCTCGGCTTTTTCCTTTATGTTTGCAATGAAGATGTCCTTTGTAGCCTGGTCCTTCAGCTTTTGAGTGTTGAACTTGGCTTGTGGTCTATCTGCAGCTCCTGTTTCCCTGAAAGCTTTTAATTTGATTTTGATTGTCCCTTGTACGAGGTAGTGGTCTGAGCCAACGTCTGCTCCTCTTCTTGCTCTTGTGTCCAGTAGGCTGCGTCTCCACTTCCTCGATATTGTGATAAAGTCAATTTGGTTTTTGGTTCGCCCATCTGGTGACACCCATGTAGCCTTGTGGATATCTCTGTGCTTGTAAACACTGCCACCAATCACTAGTTCGTTGAAGGCGCAGAAGTCGGCGAAGAGTTCTCCGTTTTCATTCATTTCTCCGAGAGCTTCTCCACCCATGATGAGTTCTCTTCCTGTATTGTCTGGTCCCAGTTTGGCGTTCATATCTCCCATTAGTATTTTAATGTCGCCAGCTGGAGTATTGTCTATTGCTGCCTGTAGTTGTCTGTAAAATTCTTCTTTCGTTTCGAGGTCTGCGTTGTTGGTGGGTGCATAACATTGGATTATTGACACTTTTCTTCCTTTGGAGTTGAATCTGGCGGTCATTATCCTGGACGAGATCGCTTCCCATTGCATCAGGGCTTTCGTTGCCGTTGGTGACATCATGATAGTCACGCCCTCGGTGTGCGTGTGGTTATCTTCTGGGTGACCGGAGTAGATCACTGACTCTCCCGTTGATAATTTGGTGAGTCCACTTCCATTCCATCTGCTTTCACATATTCCCAGCACTTGGATTCTGTATCTTTTCATCTCGCTGGCGATCTGGGCAGCTTTGCCAGTCTCGTACATAGTGCGGACATTCCATGTCCCCACACAGACTTTTTCTTTTGTCGCAAGGAGATTGCTCATGGTGAAGTTTCTGTAGCAGGTTTGTTTACAGGGTGGGGTTGCTGGCCTCACGCCTGAGTTTCGTCTTCGGGTACCTGAAATGGAAGAAAGGTTAGTGTTGCGTGACCGCAGAGCCCAGGGGACATCTGCTTGAGGCCGGTCACACGCGGCCTGGTGTGTCTCAGTAGTGTACTTATCACTTCTGCCCTGTGACACGGCAGCAGAAAGCGCGGTCGTTGTTAATCCGGGCCACGGCCGATCCGGCATGATATTTCTTGGATTTGTTGGGTTCATGGGTTTGGATTGGTGAATGATGGCGACTAAGTCCAGCCCCCACTGATACCGTCGCCAATGTATCAGTAGGTTGTGAGGTTTGAAAAATTTCGTTGGCGTCCGCTGCTACTGTCAACGGAGCTACTCAAGGAGCGTTGTGACGACCCAAGTTATCTTCTACTGATACCGTCGCCACAGTCATACCAGTAGAAGTCCGGTTAAGCTGCCGGTCAGCCTCGAGATCAAGCAAATAACAATATGAACGAAGAATATTCTTTTCAATAATTTCTCTTCAGGTTCTTACAATTATAAAATATTTGTTGTTACAATAAAAGCCAGTTATGCGGCAGATACATTTTTAACGTAGAATAACAGATCAGTTATCCTAGGGTGTCAAAATAAATAGTCGTATTTGTGTGACAAACGTGCTAGGCTGAAATCGATTACAAAATATTGTAAAACGAGAGACTATGTTGATTAATCATGATACATTTGTAGAGTGTAGTGATATTATCTCATGAACCTCCCATTGCAGTCTTACTATCTCCTGTTTAAAACAGACCACTTTGAACTAGCCACTCACCTGACACCTTCTATAACCTTGAACTGACTTGTCAATTTTCCTACCCCACACTCTACAAATCTATTATGATTAATCACCATTGTCTCCCGTTTTACAATATTTTGTAATAGAATTCAGCCTAGCACGTTTGTCATACAAATACGACTATTTATTTTGACACCCCATAACTAATCTGTTATTCTACGTTAAAAATGTATCTGCCACATAACTGGCCTTTATTGTAACAACAAATATTATATTTTATAATTGTAAGAACCTGAAGAGAAATTATTGAAAAGAATAATCTCCGTTCAGACTGACTTTTAACGGAAGCTTTGTTTATCGAATCAACGGCGTATCAATACGTGTAGTAGGAATGATTCAACCCATGATCATTTGCTTTGTAATATTGGTATTGGTAATAATATATTCTATTTAGTATTACAATTTACATATTACCACATACACACATACATTATGGACTATAATCTATTAACAATGTAATCGCAGATAAATTTCTAAATTCTGATCTAAATGATTCGATGTTACTCTCTTTTTAAAAAGCCACTAATGTTGTCAATAACTATCATCCTGTCATCATAATGGATATATAAGCGTAGAACCTGATGATGAAATTATCGAAAATATGAATATTCCTTGTTTAATAATCAATTTTTGAAATTTCGAATGGACAATTTAATCAAGAAAATATTTCGCAGGGAGATTCCACCTGACAAACTGTCAGTCACTTGATCGCAGTGAAATATTTCTCTATGTGGTAAAGGAAAATTCTAACTGGTATATCAGAAAAGGTTAAGTGAAATAAGCATTGTATGCTTAATTTTTCTGTGCCTTAAGGTTTCTACAAAGGCTGGATTTATTTTTTTGTAGTAGAATTGCTGGCCGTGGCCCAAACTTTCTGCTCTGGCAAGGACTGGCAAGTTAACAAGTGAACTCGAAAATTGACCGTTTGTAAAGGTTTAACATATAGGTAGCTTTGGGGTAGAATATGTTGTTTTGGTAGTGTTTGCATCGGTGGCACAGCGATTAGGACGCTTGTCAACTATGCACATCGCCGAGGGTTCGATCCCCGGCTGACGCACACCTGGGAGTAAAATTAACAAGCCCATGCTGTTAAAAAAAAACACCACAGTTACTGAAACTCCCAAACTCAAGTTTTAAGCCTTGTGTTCCAGATGGAACGCAAAGAGAACTATTGAAAACTAGGGAGTAGTGGACATCCGTTTCCGTCCCGGTTTGGGACTCTTCAACAGAATTTAACTAAGACCTAACCTGGGATCGGACCCAAGATTTTCACGTTATAAGGAAAGTACACAGACTATCATTCAGCCACTGGAATGGAATCCAATGCCGACTACCGATTATTATCGCCTCCGTCAGCCAATGGTTCCCTGACTGGTATCAGTCCGTGATCAAACTTGAACCCAATCAAATCTCTACAAAATAACACTTCAAAATGTAAGCCGTTCTGTGAGTAATGGTCGAATTTTTTTTGATTATAGCATGATTCCACATCGTATTTTTGGTACGAGTATGAAATTTTCAGCATGTGATATCGGTAGTCCAAATTTAGCCAGGCGACCATGATATCAAGTATGCGTCGGCAGGGAATCGAACCCCTGACTATGTGCATGGTTAGTGAGCATCCTAACTGCTGTGCCGCCGACGCACATCTCATCAGTGTACCCTAAAACACTACATTTTATAATGATAATAAAAATGCCAACAATAACTTGTTTTTGCATAATAAGTTTACACAATATTCACAATTTTCAGCGTTAGTTTATTGCAGAATATTCACTCTTCACCGAGGAGTTTCAAGTAAAACAGCCATTTCCAGTACGTGATGTGATGCAGTAATGTTAGATGTGAAGAATAAAATCATGAACTACAGTAATTTTTTCTTTGGTTCCATAGAAATGCTCAATGATAGGCTGCAAACCAATTGAGAATGTGAACGGGTACAACATTTGGAGACTCACGGGATATAACTAAATGATGATTATAACACCAAGAACTAAAAAAAAGTAAGATGCATCGTGTGTCGGATAGAAACTCAGGTAGCCCAGGGGAATTCAAGCATGCCACCAAATCATACCTGATTTAACCTCGTATATCGTCAAAATGTGAATAAATAAATAGATAATAGAACTAATGTCGATAACATTTTTATAGACAATTGATGAAAATGAAAATAACAAACACCAGATTGACACTATGTCATACCTGTAAACGTGTTATTACATTCTGTAGTCGAAGTACTTCAGCTTCATAACTGGAACGCATATCAGAGATTTGCTTTTCATAGTCACTTTTATCCATCAGTTCAGCTTGTAGCCTGGCATTCTAATTAAGAAAAAAAATCTTTTAAACACCAAAAATGCCGTTAAATAACAGACTGACTTTCTACATAGAAATTTGCACAGAAGTACATGCACCACACAGTGGTAGACAAAACAGGCAAACAAAGAGATTTTAAAAGAATTATGATGAACAGAAATGTGAGAAAAAAAAGGATAGTAATATGGAGAAACACGAGGATTTGATGGATGTGGGCGATCATAAAGAGCGAATGCATTAACACTTAAGGTAAAGATTTTGAACCATGACACCGATATTCTTAAACCAATAATTTATGGTCTCACGAGGGCTTAAATCAAACAGTCTACAATTCCGTACGTAACCAGCTCAAACCAGCTGTCAAAAACTTCGTGGATAAATTCCAGGTTTTTGTTTGACCAACGCCATCTTATGTCAGGTGATATTGCTCGTCGAGTAAGGTAGTGTCTCGACACCTTTCCTAGCCATCTCGGTCGACTGACTTCCTCTCCTTGCCTAACAAAATGACTAACCTCAGTATTACACACTATATAACACTAATTAACACAACAGACACGACTCAAACATTTGTCGTCAAAGTCAGATACCCTAATCGTATCTTCCACTTTCAATGATCATAACTCACAGTCATAAATACGAATGACTCATAAAATTAAACTCGCATAAAGTACTTTGAAGCAACAATCTTTTGTCCAAACAACCAATTTTCCCACTAAAGCTGTCAAATTTTTGTATATTACCTGATTTTAGAGACTTACAAAAGCACTGAGACCACAGTGTTGTACATTAATATTAACTGATGACCACATTTCGAGCACAAACTATTCCCACTCATAAGCATATCAAGGCATCGCTCACACAACTTTCTTGCTTCATTTATATACATGAGTAAAAATTGATGATTAGACATTTGAATAAAATCAAAATAAGATAAAGTACACTCAGAAATAATAATATTAGTGTTATCAATCAAAAATAGTGGTGAAACTAATAATAATAACATAAATAAGTGAGAATATAAGGCATCTACTGTTATAACATATAAGAAGAGGACATTTGAGACCCTACTTAGGATTCTCAATAAAGCAGGAATTAGGGTGGCATTCAAACCTATAAACTCACTCAGAGACAGGCTCTGTAGGCTAAAAGACCCGATGGACCCAATTAAACAAAATAATGTAATTTACAAAATACCTTGCAATGACTATGAGTTAAGTCAACTACATAGGTCAAACTAGCAGATCAGGTGTAGTGAGATTATCAGAACATAAAATTTAGCTAAGGTTAGAATGATTGATCCCACGAAGATTAGTAATTTAGAGAAAATCTCAGCACTACATTGCACTGCATGCATTAACAAACAATCACACAATACAATGGGTGGGACAGAGTCAAAATTCTAAAGAGTAATATAGGTAGGTGGGTGGAGAGAGGGAGAAGGACTGATTACTGAATCCTTGTTCATCCAGTCTACACCCAACACAACACACGCACTAGAAGTGACTCAACACAAATACCAGAGGTATGCATGAAAGATATTATTACCACCAGTCAGTCAGTCAAATCAGAGGAGGATAATAAATAATCTTAAAATCCTATTTCAATTCAAGTACATCATAGCATTCTAACAAGTTACCTATTTTTACTATAAAAACACTCGTCTTATTTCCCATCTGATTGTAATTGATCAATTACACTCATTTTCTCCACAGTGCCCAAGTTTTATACTTATATCAATAACACTCATTTTATTATTTCTGAATAAACAGCATCCTATATTGATTTTTATTCAAATATTTAATCAAGTTTTACTCGTGTATATAAATGAAGCAAGAAAGTTGTGTGGGTGAGTGGTGCTTTGATATGATTATGAGCAGTAGTAATAATTTGTGCTCGAAATGTTGTCATCCGTAAATATTACTGTACAACACTGTGTGACTTTATCACAATAAAATCCTATTCATAATGGAGTTATACTCTACCACCATAGTGCCAAAGTTTTATACTTATATCACTTAAACCACAGGTATTGATCGTGAACTTACTAGACTCAGAAGACATTTGAGGAAATGTTCACTTGGTATACTTCACATAAACCAATGAAGTTTATTCAAAGCGGTCGTATTCCTTCAAAGGTGACAGTGTATTAAAAAAAGAATCAATAGACTTGTATATTGATTGGTCACTAGGGAGTAGCCAATGTCATACATCTAGTCCTTCGTGTAAGTATTATTATTATTCCCTTGGGTTTCTAGTGGAATATAGGGCTTCAACTACACGTCTCCACTTGCTTCTGTCTTCTACTGTAATTTTCACCTGCTTCCATGTTAGTCCATACTGTTTCACTTCCTCTTTGCACGATCTCCTACATGTCACCCTTCCGCGTCCCACTCGCCACTTCCCTTTCGGGTTCCACTCGAGGGCCTGACGTGCGATGTCACCCAGCGGCCTCCTCAGCGAGTGAGTGTCCAATCCATCTCTACTTCCTCCTGAATATTTTTCGGGCGATTGGTTCTTGTTTTGCTTCTTCCCATAGTTTCTTGTTGGTGATTCTTTCCGGCCATCTGATCTTCAGTATAAAGCGAAGACAGTTGTTGATAAAGGTCCGCAACCTGTTGGAAATATTCTTTGTGACCCGCCAAGTTTCTGATCCGTATAGATGGAATTAATGAAAAAAAACACGTAGTTCAGCGAAGAGTCTCTTTTCGGCGGAAAATTCATTTTCTTAGCTGTACAATCGCAAATATATGTGTTATTTTGTATGTATGTGTACATTAAGTTTTTCAAACAAGAATACAATTGGTTATGGTTATTTTAACTAAATAGGTGAAGATTGGTAATTGGAGTTACGTAATACAAAATCAGTCAAGAAAATTAGGTGTTAATGAAAGGTGATGAGTTGTCACAAATAGTTGTTAAAAAGAAGTTATGTAATAATATGAATAGTTTGATGATTGAGTTTTACTCAAGATACACATAGGAACAAACTAACGAAATTACGTAAGAGTTCGAAATGAACACAAAAATAATAAGCAGTTAAAGAACAGGCAAACAAACAAAATTAGGTCATCAAAAGTGGTTGAGTAATCCTCTTTTGTTTGCACAACTCCGGTTTTCCTATGTGAATGGCCAGAGCTTCAGAAATACAAACAAAGGCGAAACCGTATTGCCTTTGATAGGTTATTTTTGACTCTGTATATTACTTTGAAGGAGGCGTTTGTTGGGATGGAATGATCAGTGATAACCAGGTGTTCAATTATCGCACTCTTTATTGCACCACTATTGCCTTTTCGCAACCATGGTGGATAGTGTTCTTGAATCCTCTTGGACAGGATGTGCGTCGAACGACCGATGTACCTGTCTACACTGCAGCAGGTTAACTGATATATGCACATAGAAGTGGTCAGATGCAGTATCTTGTCCTTGAGGCTTCTGCTGATCAGTGGGCGACTGGAGAACACTATTCTTAGCGTTGCTGCAAAGAATGTTCTTCTCAGAGATGATGTGATCCTTCTCTTGAGAATATCGCTTGTTAAATCTCCCTTGAAATCCAAGTTCATGTAGAGTTTCTTTTCAGGTGCAAGTGAAGTTTCATTTTCTCCAAATTCTTGGTTTAATATTTTTGTCAATGAATCTTGGTGGGTATCCATTTTGGATGAAGATTTCTCTCAGAATATCTAATTCTGTTTCTAGAACATCGGAACTACAGATGCGTCAGATGCAGGTGGCAAGTGATCTAATTAAATTCCGCTTTTGTTGAATGGGTACCCAGACGAAATTGTATCAAAGTCAACTTAGTAATGTGATCACCAAGCTTGACTAGGCGAATTCGGTCCTAACGAATACGGAGGATTAAATGCGTGACACTGGCTACTCACCAGTAACAAATCAATGTATCCATTACACTCCTAGAGGGGATCAGTCGTTAGGCCGAACAGCTGTGTGGTAACGTCTTTGACCCCAGAAATGAGTGTGCTTTCGGAAGTGTGTGGGCCATTGTTACTTCCCGGCTCCCCACACCGTGGAAGTTGATTGATTCTTCGAGTACCTGAAACAGAAAGACGGTTACTATTGCGTGACCGCAGAGCCCAAGGGATAACTGCTTGAGGCCGGTCACACACGGCCTGTATGAACTGCTTTCTTGGATTGGTTCCGTATCAGTGAACTTACCACCGGTGACGGACCACCGTAGGGTAAGTCGGGATGTACAATTTTTGGGGTCGACCTTTTCTAACCCACTCTCTGCAGAGTGGAGAGACAGTATAGCTGGCATGCTGGTCATGTGAGGGAAACACCTCACTGCCGTTACATCCCTGTTCCCCAGCAGTACGACTTTGCCCACAGACCCTCAGCATAGTGTAAAAACAATTCTTACACTATGCCGGTAACTGCTTTTAGTCTAATCGCTATCCTAACAACCTTCCTGGCATGGTAGGACCTTCAGGAACAATATTTCCAGCCAGTGTAGCTTGTTGGGTCATTGCGATATGCAAGCCCAACCACCACTTCAATGTAGGAGATATCGGTCGGGGACCTCGGAACTAGACAACACGGGCTACAATCTCAGGAGAGTCTTCAGTTCCCTATAAGTTGCAGATATATCCAAATGACGAGTGCCAAGAAACCCATAATTTTGATCCACAGCTTTCTCAGCACTGCCTCCAACAGTCTAATATTAATTCCCAGTGTACAGTACATTTGTACATAAAAGGCAAAGGGAGAAAACCGAGGTTAATTATCTCTACACGGTTGTGAATCTTAATAAAATGAAGACCGTAAGCGTTAACACTGAAGTATTAGAAAGTGCTGGTGGTAGTCCTGGAGCTTATAGGCAATTGTCAAGAAAGAGATTTCCTTATATTCAAAGGAACTGAGATGGCGTTACAAATTCAAACTTACACAATCCAGTATTTTAAACAGACACAGCAGTAAAAGGACTAGACAAGTTATCACCAACAATTGTGTACTTAACGCAATACACTACTGATTGACTGACATGAGTAGTTTTGTACCACTCGTATTAACCAGTAGTAACAATCACTGGTGTTTAGGGCCATGCAGTTATGCTTGCTATCTTGATCGCCATCTGTGGTATCAAGCAGATTACATAGCGTGTGTGTGGGTGTGTATGTGTGATCTGAACAATTTCGGTTTCCAACGGAAACTGTGGTGAAATTTCTCCTCCTCGAATTGTATAGATTGCGCATATGGCGAATTAATTTGCAAGTCACGAGTTCCACTTAAAATACGTACTTACCTAATCTGCTATTTTATTTAACAACTACGAAATGCGGAGAAAAAACATTTTACAAGTCTTCTTGTTGTCTTTCAAAAGTGAATCTTGTCAATTTTTTTTATTCCTTCACGTTCCCAGTGGAACATAGAGCTTCAAGCTTGTGGCTTGAAGTTTCTATAGCAGTGTTTATTTTACAGGATGGGGTTGCTAGTCTCATGCCTAACCTTTCCTCTTTACCTGCTTTATTTCTGGCTTAGCGGGGTAAAGGAGTGCGTCGACCGGGAATCGACCCCAGGACCATGCGCATGGTCGGTGAGCGTCCTAACCGCTGTGCCACCGACGCCAATAAAACTGCTATTACTAAAATCGCAGAGTTTGATAAGTGTAAATTGGATATTCATGCTGAAAATTCCACACTTGTACTGAAAATACGGTGTGGAATCAAGCTGTAAATCAAAAAAAAAATAAAAATAAAAAATTCACTTTCAGCTATCAAAGCACAAAAATGCCAATGCATTTACACAGAAGACAAGGGCCAGGCAACAGATCATTTATTAAGGAAATCAACGCATATTTATATATTTTCATGTACATTACTATGGATATTTAAGTAAACAAACACAGTCTTCCGATTGGTTGTTTCTCACTTAAAGTTAATCTTTCATCTATTTGTGACTGTTTCTTGAATGTCACATCCTCTATATGTTAACTGCATCCGCCTACGCAAAGTCTGCTGCGGTCGGTTTTGAATCAACCTTTGTTCACATTTTCTCACGACAAATCTTGGGAACATAAATATTGACGTAAATTACTGTCTACCACTTTGGCGAGTAGACAGCTCTCACCACAGTTTTAGCCGTGAATTCTTTTGTCATGTAGAAATCCTCCCTTCTAATTAAACCTAACGATATCTTATTGCACGGGAGCTAATAATACTACCAGACGCCCAGGTTGAGGTAAATGGGATCGATTTTGAGCCTGTCATTGCCTACCTGGTTCATCCATAGTTCACTGCTCGAATGCTTGCTAACCATGCGTGAGCTCCTTGGTTTCATTTCCAGACGACTAACTCTTAAACCTCGTTTAGGTGGTAGTGAGTTCGAAAAAGAGGAAAGGTTGGGCGGAGAACTAGCAAGCCTATAGGGTAAAAAGAAGACCACTTCTACTGAAACTTTGAATCCTGAAACCCTATCCTACACTCTGTACTCAAAGAATCAAAAAAATCCATTAACTGACGGTCAAGTACATGAGTTAATGCTCTATATCTCCACTCAGAATAACACCTGTGAAGTAGCAGATCCCATCATGGTGAATAATACTCAGTTGAATTATTCAACTTCTAGCATTTACAGTTGAATAATATAAACCTTTATAAATCAATATATGAAATGTTAGAGAAACTTACAGTCTTTCTTTCCTCATCCAAGTGTTCTTCAAGACGAGTTAAAAGATTATAAAATATGCTCTGATTAGACATTGATTCACAACAATGTTCATTGCCAAAGTGATTGATATCACCCTCACTATTGACACACTTCATTTCGTGGACTTCAATTGTTTTAGGTGAATCAGAATTGGCAGAACTGCTGTTACTGATAATATTGTCATTTGAATTTAGTTGATCATGTCTAGATTACAAGACAAAGAGAAAGAATATATTCGGAAAAAATATATGAGTAAAATAGTGTTATGAAATCGAGATGTAAGATCCTATTTGACAAATCTGCTCTGCATTTCATCAAAGATTTTGTCCCTTTGCATTCTTAGTGGAACATAAAGCTTCAAGATTGAGCTTTGAAGCCTTTCAGTAGCAGTGGAATCTCTTTACACTCAACCCCAACCCTCTTTACCGGGCCATACTAAGTTAAGGAGTGTGTTAGTGGGGCTTTGAACCCTGGACCATATAAGGTGTGGTGGGCGAGTGTTCTACCAGTGAACTATCAGTTACTCCATAAAATAAATGAAAACAACTGGTATGTTACAAACGCCTGTCTCTCTAAAGCAAAGTGACAATTACTCATTCGACCATACTGGCAAGACCATTTCATTCTTACACAAATGGAATATAAGTGTGAACAATAGACTTCAGAAAACATTTTTTTATTTTAAACTTGGTACAATATGGCACCAAGAAAGATGCGCCACACAATAATAATAAAACAACATAGATTAAAAGTAAAAATATAAGTAGAAAGCGGATAAAGGACTTCATTTGGAAGGAAAACAGTCATGTTTAATAAGTTCAAACAGTATTCGTTAACTATCATCAGGAAGGGAAGAAAGAAGGAAATTGCAACACGTTCGCCATTGATTACGATTCTTGGCCATATCCGATAACATTTCGAGCCATCGATTCGAGCTATCTCGCGGACCCCAACCAGGGAGTCATGACGCACCAACCGATGCTAATCTAGCACAAAAATCCTTCATCCCACGACGCCACGTCATGGACTGACCACCCCTCCGCCTTTTCCATGCCGTCCCAGAGCTCGCTAGCGAACAGAGACCTGTACGGAAGCCTCTGAGATGACATTCACAGCACATGTCCAAGCCAACGAAGCCGGTGTTTCCAGATGACGACACTCAATGAATGGTGATCTCCACTGTGTTCAAACACACGCCTCTGAACCTCATAATTACTTGCACGATGATGCCATCAAACGCAAGCAATCCTGCGGAGACAGCGATGATCGAACACACGGAGTCGCCGCACTTCCTCAGCTCGAAGAGGACAGGTTTCACAGGCGTAGAGCAAGACAGCCGGCACCGAAGCGTCGTATACCCGACCTTTGATAGCCAGGCTAACGTCGTGACGGCGCCAGAGGTGGCTCAAATTGATGTATGCCACCCTAGCCTTCATTATACGGTTAGAAATCTCATTCGTCACTCCTTCTCAAGCACTCACACAACTACCTAGATACACAAACTTATCAACAACTTCAGGAAACAAGTCACAGCATCATCGATAATCAGGAAAATCATCAAGATAATAAGGGCCTTGATGTTTTTATTTCAAGAAAAAACCGAGATGTATTTTCTGTGAGAAATTCGTAACCTGCAAATCATTTCGCTATTTATAATCCACATAATTCGAGAGGGAGTGAAATTTCACCATAGAAACCAAAATTACTCAAGTCCCAGTGTATATGATTTTCTTGATGTCATAAATGATAATCAAGGTAGTAAGCATAAATTTATTTATGCTGTAAACCACTGAGTGATCGACGAAAGTAGCCTGATACATCTCACGTCATCTAGCAGTGCTTGTTAGTCAAATTCGGTCCACAACAAGTGCAGCAAGTGAACCCTCCACTGTTTAGATAACTTTGACCTGTTCTTCCAGTTTTACTTCCGAATAGACTGATGCACAGATTATGGAAAGATCAACGAATACACCTAGATGAAGACAATGGAAGGTAAGTGTTCAGGAAAATCCCTAAAAATTTATTACTGAGATAATTTTTTATGAGTTTCTTCACTTGACTATTGGCTAACTTTCGTGTAGTGAACTGGAAGTTAATTCATAACACTGTCTCATAAAATAACTTGGAAATATGCTAAATTCTTAAATAAGATAGATTTCATTTCAACGTCATACCATGGCAACAATGAGACTTACTGACAGTGATGTGGCCAATCACAAAATTAGAATCATTTATATTTGCACATCTATTAAAATGATTTTTTATACAATTAGTTTCAGTCACTTGTCTCCGTGCTCGCCAACCACTCACGTAATCCCGGGTTTGATTTACCACCGACGCACTCATAAAGTTTGCATACGTATTACTAAGCCCGGAAAGGAGGAAACGTTAGGCGTGAGACTAGCAACTCTAACCCCTTGGAAGTAGCATGACTTCTGTTGAGACATCGAATCGTAAAGCCCTGTTTTTTACTCAGAAGGGAAAGACTGGAAAAAGCCTTCGAAGCGCTATATATATATATATATATATATATATATCAGAATCGGTCGGTCGGTCGGTTTTCGACATAGAACTTTGCACATATGTGCGGTAGTTCACGTCGCCACACTCCCCACATGTAGCACACAAAGCAAGAGAAGAAAGTAGAAGAAATGCATATTAGAGACAGTGAACAGAGGTGTGAGACAAAGGAATAGTAATAACGGAGAACAAAACAGTTTAATTAGAAATCATAAGTCACAAGGAGTGGATGCATCTGCGCTAGCCATTGAGAACGATTTTGAGCCATGTCACCAATTGTTTCCAACCATTGGTTTTTACCTTCCTGAGGACCCCAACCAGAAAGTCTACACCTTCCTACGTGGCTTAGACTAACTGTTGTAGATTTCATTGACTGGAGCCATGTTTTCGTTTGACCGCCGCTAGCTCTTTTCCAGCCTGACCCTATATCAGCTAACATTGCCTGTCATCGAGGAAGGCGATGACTAGAGGCATACGTAGCACATGTCCTAACTATCTTCAGTCGATGTAATTTCACAGTCTCGTCTATTGATTTCCCCACCTTACCTAGCATTCGACGCCTAACCTCAATATTGCTAACCTTATTATACCACTTCACGCGGAAGATGGAACGCTGACACCTATGATCAAAGACAGCTAATCTTTTCATGTCTTCTGCTCTCAATGGCCAGGTCTCACAGCCATAAAGGAGGACGGAGCGGACTACTGAGAGCAGTATACACGCCCTTTGGTCGATAGTCGGATACCGCGTCTACGCCAGAGACGGCGTAAACTGGCATATGCAAAACTAGCCCTCTGTATTCATGCTGAGATTTCGTCGGAGATCAACCCGTTGGGGCTGATAGTACTTCCCAAGTAAGTGAAGCGGTCAACGTGATCTACTACTTCACTTCCTATTTCTAATCTAGGGGTCAGTGAAGTCCAATCCTGCAGCATCATCTTACATTTTACAGGGGCGAATCACATGCCAAACATACGAAGATTGTTGCTCAAGGTGTTCAGTAGACTCTGCATTTTGTCAGAGTCCTCGCCTAGAAGGACTATATCGTCTGCATATTCTAAGTCAACGTGATTATTCCCTGGTAGCAAGTCAATCCTTGAGTCACTGAAGTGAGTTAGGTTTAAGTCCATTAGTACGTCTATGATGAAGTTGAATAGAAATGGGGATAATAGGCATCCTTGACGGACGCCACTAGTCGTCACCACTTCAGATGACAACTCGCCATAAGCCCTCACCTGGCTGCATGAGTACGAGTAGAGTGCCTTAATCAGTGCAATGTATTTTCCCGGCATTCCCTTTACAGCCTGGCATCGCCAGAGAACCTCTCGGTCGACAGAATCGAATGCCGCCTTTAGGTCAAGAAATATAATGATTGTCGGACGCCGGTAGGAATGCCTATGTTCTAGAATCTGTCGAAGGGTGAAGATATAAACAATACCTCCTCTTCCTGGTCTAAAACCTGCCTGGTTTTCTCGTGTTTGTGCCTCCCGAGAACCACTTAGTCTACGCAGTATTATTGAGCCTAGGATTTTAGATACTATATTAGTCAAGCTAATCCCTTTGTGATTATCACAAGAAGACTTGTCTCTCTTCTTGTATATCGGGATGATCAGTGACTTACACCAACCCGATGGGACTTCCTCTGATTCCCAGACGCTGCCTAAAACCTCAGTTAATGCAGACAGTAAACTGTCTCCACCGTATTTGAATACCTCTGGATTTATTCCATCAGGTCCCGCTGCTTTGCCTAGCTTCAGATTAGTGGCTGCTCTAGTAACCTCAGTTAAGGACGGAGGACCTGTGTCTATATCGCATTCAGGGAGGTGTTGGATGTTCGGCAGGTTAAGTGTGGCTGTAGGCCAATTAAACTGCTCCTCATAGTGTTCTTTCCAGCGCTCCAGTCGTCTATCCTGGGAGCTAATTATGGTGCCATTTTTCTCCGAGATTGTTTCGCTTATCATTTGCCTTTTGCCACCTGTTTCCCTGATAAGCCTGAATAGTTGTCTGGTGTTGCCAATCGCCGATGCCTTTTCCATCTCTTTCGCTTTTGTCACCCACCACTGTTCATGGTCCTCGTGAAGACTTTTTGTTAGTCTTCGTTTAAGTACCTTTCGCTCCTCATCATAATCGGAGCTCACTGGAATCAATCTTCTTGCGTCAATCAGTTCGGATGAGGCGGTAGATATACAATGGCTTTTATTAACTTTAGGTTTTAGCTTATTGACAGCTTTCACGGCTGTGTCCACAGCTAACTGTATGTTGTGCCAGGCTACCTCAGGGGAAGTCCTGCTGTCTACCTCAGGAACTAGTTTCGCTATTTCTTCTTTAAATAAGGACTCAGTGTCACGACCTAGTTGGGGACGTTACTGTTTCGCTGCCGTCAATTTCTTATGTCCATTTTGTCGTAAGCATAAACGTGAGCGAACCAGAGAGTGATCAGAGTCTATGCACGTGTTCCAGAAGAAGCGACAGTCTTCTACTGACCCTCGCCAACGATACCCTTTGACTATGTGGTCTATCTGAGTGAGAGTTTTCGCTAACGAATGCACAGATCAAATTCTCCCAGTCACTTAGAAACTAATAAAGATATATACACTTAAGTTACCCTAACAGACATAAAGTTTCTTCAGTAAAACAGACCACTATCTATACAGAGCCAAAACAATTCAAAAGAATATAAACAAATATAACAAAGAATCAGACAAGAAAGCCGAAACTACGACGACACGATGAGTAAATGGGATAGACAAGACATCAGCATCGTACAACTAAATACTCAGTAGTTTAAAATTAAAAAAGCGAATATACTTGATGAATTAAGTATCAATAATGAGACTTAAACGTCTTCAGCCTCTGATTTTTCACTACAGTGTTATAAAAGTAGACATTAGAAGCACACAATGCAGCATCACCAGTAAGCCTCATAGCACTCGCATTCAACCAGAGTAGGATTATGAACATATCTGTCCCATTAAATAATTTGACCTGTCCTTACCAGTGTTGCTTTCTATAAGTCTATCATAACAAACTTTCCCGGTAAGATTATAACTATCTATAAACTTCAAAGGAGCTTTTGATAAATTTACGAAGTAGTTTTAATCTCAAATTTTAAGGAAACCAGCATCTTTCACTCTGAGTCATTAGTCGACCAAATTGACAAAATGATACTATGGCTTGCATGATGTAGGTTTAATCTAATTTGAGGGATAAAGTTCCACAAGACCAAGACGAGTTATTTTCTGCCTTGAACAAAATTAAAAACTGATCTAACAATGCATATACAAAGCATTAATGTGTTAAAAACAACAGTACCAAGCAAAACCAGCGAGACGCACCTGATTTTACTATCTTCAGAACATGGTCTGTTTGAGGTTTTCTTTTTTATAGTACCACACCTTTTATCCCCAGTCAAACGTGATGAAGATGGTGCCTTTTTGTGAGAATTTTGACAGGTGGAATGGGAGCAAGCACTACTGCATACAAGTGGCCTTCTTCGGATACTATTGCGCATCATAGGAAGTGTATTGACTGTTAAATTGTATTTCATCAAAAGTTTGTTTCAAATGAGGCCTAGAAAAAAATGTCATCACTAAACATCAATTTGCATACATCTTCGTACACAGATGTTAAAAAATTAGAGATTTAAGTGGATGAGTTCTGAGTGTTCTAAGTAGAAGATAGAGCTTCATTGTACTCTGTTCTTTGTATTCGCTTCCAGAAGCCTTCTAAGTGGACAATTAATCCTTGTTAAGATATCTCGAAGCAAACTTTAAAGGAGTCATTAGCCTGTAAGCCCAGTTTATCCAGCTTATTGCTAATGTACATTCTATGATGACATAATGCTGGACGCTTATTTGAGTTAAATTAACAACTAGGAATTATTGTAAGCCATGACTTAAAAACAAAGGCAAGTTGTAATCGAGCCTCAGCTAAATCTTTCCGAATGCTACGGGGACTTCAAAGGGCTTTCAAACGATTAGACGAGAGTTTGTTCCAAATACTCTACGCAACATACGTTAGGCCTCATGTAGAATACTGCACACAAGCGGTGACTTCGTGTCTCAAAAAGGAGGCACATATCTTGGAAACAGTACAGAGGGTAGGAACGAAATTAGTTAGTGTTAACTCACACCTTCCCTATGATAAGAGAATAGATCATTTAAATCTGTTCCCATTATCATATCGAAGGAGGAAACGCGACTTAATTTTAGCTTACCGTATATTAAAGAGTGATTTAGGGATCGACCTTTCAAATCTTTTCTCTTCCCCTAGGATACATTTACGAGGTCACCACAAGAAGGTGGTCAAACCGAGGTCGAATAAAATACGTGTGGAATTTAGATTCTCTCGCACAGTGGTCAACGACTGGAACTCCTTACCTGATTTAGTAGTAACAGCTCCATCGGTGAACGCTTTCAAAGAGAAACTGGATCTCTGCAGAGATATATATCGCAAGGATTAACAGAGACAACAAGAGCCTTGTATCCTTATAACCTGAATCTGAATCGAAACATAGACAGCTTCCAAGGCCAGACATTTCTAACTATTTATGAATACATTTACAGTGATTCAGAATATTTAAGATCTTAATGCTCCTTTCACAAATTCATGTACAGTGTACTTCCATATGAAAGTAAGAAATACAGTATTGCATCAACCACTGAAATAAAACACTTTGTGGCAATTTTGTAGCAAATAGCCGCAGAAATTCTGAAAAAAGGCCTCTTACTCCCTCCCCCGTCCCTCAACAAATTATTTCAAACTCCAATAAACTCCTTAGCCTCAAATTCGCCTCAAATTTCCCTAAAAATCTTCTGACCCCCAAAAGTGCCCTCAAAATAACCGAGAACATCAGCTAAAATAACACTATAAATAAATCCAATCAGTAGAATTGTAGCTACGTCAAACATGACACATTTTTTCGCAACAGCTCAAATTTGTTATTCTTTATGTGTTTTCGAAAAATTGCACTTATTCACGTCATTCCATTCATTTAACATGATTTTTCACAGTGCCACGTAATGGTCATTCATGTCACCCTCAAATGTGAATTTTCAAAAACTGGTTGAGTACATATAGATATAAAAAAATGTATATGCTAACAGAATGAAATCTTAGCAGGTGAGCATAGAAACCTGAACTGCCGCTGATAAACATAGGCTAGGCATGACCCTACAACTACTCATATTGGTGCAGTTAAACTAAACATGTTAGTAGATTGAACTAAGAATTTCAAAGTTTCTTCGATTATCTGGTTCTGTAGCGCTTTGCACAAAATATCGGAGTTTTCTACTCCTTCTAGGGATAACATCCGTTAATTTTGGATAAGCTTTATGATTTCTTAACAATCGCTCTCAATATCCAATATCGTTTTTACGTCTGGACTTATTCGTCACGTTGGTTGAAATTTCGCTAGGAAAACTTTTTCTTCAGTAATTTTTAATCAAATTGTGTTATATGCTTTCTGGATTGATGGGAATTCCCATTTCCTGACTAGTCATTTTGGTGTCTGCGTCATGTGATCCGACTGTGACACACTCCTGGCATATTGGTTGCAGTGATTAGTGTTTCGAGCGGATTGTCAAAATATCGGTATAATGACCATGATTTGATATTTGGAGGATAATGTCATCTACAAAAATAGTCTATTTTATGTAGAAGCTGCACCTTTCGGCATAGTATCATTCAATGAAGACTTCATGTCTCAGGATATCAGTGTAGCCTATTTCTGTGTGAAGAACAGTACTATTTGACAAACGAATGCTGTCAGCACATGAAAATCACTTATAAATGCTAACAGAACCTTCTCTGGGGACAGAAGTTATCACATATATGTGTCTTTCATCGTATGTGTGTTTTGACAGGAATTATCGTAAGTTGAAAGGTTATCTCTAGGTGGATTTAATATATATTTGCACTAATTGGTGCAGGGTAATATGGGTTATGTGGATTCAATGTATTAAAAATATCTGAACTTCATTAATAATGTGCCATTGTGTGCTTAGATGAATGCTAGGCTAACATATGTATGTGGTACTCATGATTGTTGCAAGTGCAGTGCAGTAGAGAAATCAATCTGGATTTAACTTCTTCAGTATCTATTCAAAGCATTACCCTATGTAGGTGGGAACATTCGTTACTCTCTTGTTTTTTTCTTACTACCATAAACTCGGACTAACCGTTAGTATGTTACACTGTAAAATTCAACGACTATAAATTCTTAGTAATAAAAAAGGGAATGTGCCCTTAGTTTATCTCATATTGTTTGTTAAAATTGTTAATATTTGCTGGTTGCCTCTGCACCCGTCTTGCTGTTCTCTTCTGTCTTCTTTTTTCAAAGGCGCTGCAATGGAACACTGCTAACGTACAGTAATGCCGCTTTCTACGTTTGTATTACTTGAATGGTGTTTTGAATTAACCTATATAGGTGTGAAAATCACTATTCGCTTTACCCTTATATTTTTCTAAAAATTTGTTATTCTACATTTTTTGTTGTTGTTTAATATCACAAACTTGGACTAACTGTTAGTATGTAACACTATAAAACTCACTGACTCTAAATTCTTGGTAACAAAAAGGGGAATAAACCCTGCGGTTATCGCATATTGTTTGCTTAAATAATTATTATTTGCTGGCTGCGTCTGCACCTCTCTTTCTGTTTTCTTCTTTCTTCTCCTCTCCAACGTCTTGCATTGGAGCATTGCAAATGTACAGTGATGCTGCCTTCTACGTTTGTATTACTTGAGCTTTATTTAGAACATTGTTAGCACATACGATGAACAACGGAACCAATTCCATTCTGAAATCTGTTTATCATCGCAAAGTTCGTCCGTTGCATCTCCTAATACTAAAATAATGCTGTACTTACCGTCTACTGTGAAGTTTTATAAGTTTTCAAACCCTTATTAATTGATTAAATGATAATGACTGTAAGCTCTCCATCCTGTGTGTCTTACTCTAGCACCTGTGTATCGTCTCTCTTCTTACCTTCCACTGACACAACCTTTCGTAGTTCTCGCGCGAAGTTGACTGACTATAAGTATATTAACGATTAAAATTTAGACTTGAACCAATATTTTATAATTTATTCCATTAAAAGTAAACATTACAAGCTTCTTATAAAGTTTCTAGAATTTTTTTCATGTTTTACTTTTTATGTCATAAAACAGTGTTCAACCTAAAATTGCACTTTTGTAAAAATAACCTGCTCGAGTACTGTTGCTCTTCTGAACTCAGACAGGGGAGTCGCATTAGTTTAATGTGGAGGGAATCTTTGAATCGTACACTGGAGAGTGTAACTACGGGGATTTTCCAGTCTGCCTTCGCCACACAATACTCAGTATGGGTTGGGCAGCAATACTAAGGAAGCATAGCTGAGAGATTAGAAGGGAATCCGAGAGGATGAATAGAATAAATAAATGGAGGGTAGGGCAAGAGGAACGTATCACGAAACCCTGAACATATATTCCAGTTATTTTCAATCTACTGATGGGAAGGCCAAACATTTAGCATTTGTCAATTTCCAGGTCTAACTACACTGGACTTAACGCTGCCCTTAGAAGACTTTTAGCAACAATGTGTAATAACCAACACGAAAAACCAAAACACAGATTGGCGACTCCAGAATCCTTTATTCTTGCGCTAATATGTAACCAACAATAAGGTTGTGGTGAGAGCTGTCTACTAGCCAAATTGATGGACAGTACTTTACGTCAACATTTACGTTCCCAAGATTTGTCGTGAGAAACAACCAATCGGAAGACTGTGTTTGTTTGTTTACGTATCCATAGTAATGTACATGAAAACATCTATAAATATGCATTGATTTCCTTAATAAATGATCTGTTGCCTAACCCTTGCCTTCTGTCGTTACAAGGTTATTATACACAAAGTCTAAGAATGAATATCAAAACCATTATTCACAACAATACTTCTGATAGTATTTCTCCGTCTTCTAACGAACAGCGTACGATGGAACGATGACTGCAGTATTGGTGACTCCCGCCAAAATATGGAGTTAGGTTTGAGCAAACAACCATGAATCGATCGTCCATTCTTCAACTACATTGACAGCATTAATTTCTGTCTTCTGCGTTACTTCCAGGAAGTTACGTTCAAAATTTAGTTTTTCCTCCGAAAAATAACAACAGGTTTCTGAGAGTTAAGGGATTAAAATTTATATAAATAAATATAAATAACAGTATATTCCCATTTTGTACATGAGGGACGCCAGTTTACAGGCATCATCAATATGATAAATTACATATACGATTAGTAAACATATTTAATAATAGTAATTTAATAAAATACATTTTTTCCTACCTGTGTAGGACACATCAATTGTACAGGCATGGATAAGTATTATTTAAATTACATAAATTTGGTTCATGGTAAAATTATAAGGTTGCAGTCATTTTGTCTATGGGAACAATATGATAACTAGTCATTCAATGGAGCACATCAAGAAATATAGAAATATTGTCTTCGCATTAACAAAAAACCCAAGTATGTTTTGGATGGATTACAAATACTTGGGAAAAATAAAGCTTGAAGTAATTCTTCCATATAACTTTGGTGTGTACGGCATCGAGTCTTATTCTTGATTGATATCCAAATTTGATAATAATTTAAAATAAGTAATACACTTGTATACTTTT